GTCCTAAAAAGATAAGATTTTTCAATATCTTATTCACTCATAACAGGTTTTGTCTTCGTCGAATTAGACTGTTAAATTTTTCTCAATTTTTTCTACGGTTTTGAAAAAAAACAACGTTTTTGACTGGTTAAAAATAATACAAACAACTTTTTCTATAGATCTTTGTTTTTGCGTTTTACAAAACTTAGTATTATCTAAAGCTATTTCATCTTTTTGTTTTCTCATCGATCATCCGCTAGACCTCCGATTCTGCTGGCGGCTCTTCTTCCATTTCCGACTGCGGTTCGGCGCCCTCTCCACCTCCTCCGGCAGCTTCTTTGGGGGGTTCGGGCCGTCTTATCCTTCGACCCAATATCTTTCGCTCCATGTTCTTTGTTGAAGTTGTCGTGCATAAGAGCGACTGTTGGTCCAAACTGGCTAAAACTGGATCGTCCGGTCTGCACTTGAGGTTGACTTATTGGCGTCTGCTGGTTGTTGAAACTCTGTTTGCTTCCCTGAGATGGGAGATCCCTTTGTGTATAGCTATGTTTAGGCGGCATACCCCCACTTTGTTGATTACCACCCTGGTTCTGCGGGGGTTCTCTCTGGCTAACTGATCCACCCGACGGTCTGGTGTTGTTGCCGGTGGGTGGCGGCTGCTGGCGCGTCTCTGTAACTGCCGGCGTTTTTGGATCTAGTTGGTATTGAGGGTAGCTGGTACACACTAGTGTCACTCTGCTGCATTCCTTGACCTTGAAAAATTTTAAAATAATCTTGACCAGGCTCTTTTCTTTACAAAGTGCAAAAACGATCACTTCTGTTTCCTAACTATACCTTGGTTCAAAAAAAATGGCCGCGGCAATATTTTTGAAAAATGCGTATAGCTCGAAAGCGGCAAATTTTGGCAAAATGTGGCAAAAATAAAAAAGAAAGAAGTTGAACAGACTTTGTCGCCGTGTGAATCAATTGACAGGTACTTAGCTAATGAAAATGCTACACATCATTCTTCAACACAAAATTTTGAAATGCAAGCGAAACGCGATTTACTTGAATTTCTCTATGTCAACGACTCCAAACAACGTGAATATCTGTCGAAACGGGTGAAAATGCCACCGCGTAGTTTCCGACGTAACATGAAAATCTTGGAAGAAAAGGGAACCTTGGAAAGAAAGAAAGGAAGCGGCCGACCTCTCCAAATTTCTGGCAATGAGAAAAAACGCTTATGTCAAATTGCGCTTAAATCTCCGTCGGCATCAACTCAAAATGTCTGTGATCGTTATAACGAGTTAGCTAGGACATCCGTCAGTAAATCCACAGTTTTCGAGCTCTGAAATCGTCCGGCGTGCAGAAAAAGACTGCAAAAATCATCCCGAATATCACACCGGTCCATGAGCAAAAAAGAATCGAATTTTGCAGAACATGGAAGAACTTCAATTTCGGAGAAACCTGGCTTTCTGACGAGTGCATGTTCCAACTTCATCGGAATAAAATCAAGCTTTGGAGTACTGCGAAATTGTTGGTGACTTTATTCCTTACGCCACTGCATTATTTCCCGATGGCTGGATACTAGAGCAGGACGGCGCCACACCCCATACTTCCCGACAAACTAAAGATTTTTTTGCCGAAAATTCGGTACAATTTTTGCAGTGGCCACCCAATTCTCCAGATATTAATCCAGTGGAAAATGTGTGGATGATGCTTAAATCCTTTGTTGAGAAGAAAAATCCGAAAACAAAAGACGAACTAATTCAGTATGTTCAAGAATCTCAACATGTAATTTTGCCAGCGGTAAGAAAAAATTTGATGGGTTCTATCCCGACGCGTTTGGGCCAGTGTCTTGAAAACGAAGGAAAATTTGTGGAGAAATGGACTGGGACTGAATAGGCAAGACAAAGACGCAACAGACTCATATTTTCTTATATTATTTTGTTTGCTCAATGCTTAGAAAAATATATTATTTCAGCGGCCACTTTTTTTGAACCAAGGTATAGAACATTTAAACATAAATTAGCTTCATATGGAAATTGAGCTGCAAAAACGAATGTTTAAAAGAGTCCAATTCATGAAGGATGGTTGAAGGGGTGATGGGTAAAGATTGTGTTGATTCCTTTCGATTAAAGAACCAGATGAACCTTACTGACCTGAGGGCGCTCTGGGTGACCCCATGTACTCCTTCAATTCCTCATTGACCCTGTTGTTTTCCAATTGGTTCATTTTCTGCTGCTCCCCCATAAAGTACTGGAAGGGTTCTTGCTCCTTGTCCTCCTCTATCGCCCCGTCTGGGATCCTCTGGGGTTTGTCTCTGTACGGGTAGCCGTCTTCTGATGGATACTCGGTTGCCTGCACATAATATTGACTTTTAGATTACATTAGTCGGGAATGTTTTTTGTATTTTGAAAAAATAAGAGAGAGTCAAAATTTTTCTTGAAAATAAGTGCAAGATATGCGTATAGTTTCAAAAAAACTATAAAGCCAGCTTTTGGGCAAACTTTTCTTTTTTTGTATTTTCTGAAATTAAAAGTGATACTTGTTTCCGATTGGAGCTTGTAATAAAAAGTTAGAAAACCAATATTAATTTTAACTAAATTAACATGAAGAATCATTGCCAGCTTGATGGTGCTTAAAATATAGTGACCTGGACGACTTCGTTGTAGTCCATGATGAGTTGAACCAAGTCCTCCCTAGCCTCGGGGAACTCGCCCTCCTCCATGCCCTCGGAGACAAAGTGGTGCACGAAGGCCCTTTTGCAGAACATCATGTCGAACTTGGTGGTGATCTTCTCGAATGTGCGGCTGATTGCCGAAGTGTTGGCCAGCATCACTGCCGACCGCTTAGTGGCTGCCAGGTCTGATCCAGGCACTCGGGTCGCAGGCTGGTGGTTGATGCCTGGAACATTTGTATTTGCCAAATTCATGTTTAATATCAAGTTTTTTGTGTGAAAAAGAAGTAAATATAAGAACGCAAAAATTGTCTTTGGATAAATTTTGGGGCATAGTTTTGATTATAGAACAATACAGTTAGTTTTGAATATTTTGCCGGCGCTAAGTTTTTTTTGTTTAATTGTAAAAGAAATACCCATATAAGCTCACTACTCAAATGTCAATTGCAACAATTCCAAACTGACCAATTTTGAATCCGGTGGGACACCAGTCGACGAAGCAGACCTCACGGAGGGTCTTGAGGTATCGGATGCTTGCATTGACATCTTTAGGCACCACATCCCCCCTGTAGAGCAGAGTGATGGCCATGTACTTCTGGTCTCTCAAGTCCATCTTCACCATGTGGTTCTTCTCACTGAAGCACTGCTTTGTAATCTCAAATGTCGTGTTGTCCTCGTGCTCAACCTACAAATCAATTATAATGTTGTTAATAGTGACTTTTTTTTACTATTAAGGGCCAGACTAAAAACTATACACCTCGTATTATTTTTTTAAAGCTATTCCAAGTCATGGCTGTTTAGTGATTAGACAAAATTTAAGAATTTCACAGTAGTGTTTACAAATAACGGCCTTTTTTAGGAGAGACAAAAAAGAACGTTGCACAAAAAAATCTATAATAAGATGGCAAGTTCTATAAAGTTTGATTCAAAAATAAAAAGGCATAAATTTTAAACTAAGTTCAGTTTAACAGGATTTTGTCATACAAAATGCACGCATCGAGCTATGAAAAAATTGATTTCAGGTACACCTGATAAAAAATTATTTTAAATGTTACCTGAGACTCTGGGACGATGGGCGAGTAAGTGACACTTGGGAAATGAATTCTCGGATAAGGCACCAGGTTTGTCTGGAACTCCGTCAAGTCCACATTCAGAGGACCCTCAAATCTGAAGAAAATTTATATATATGCTTTTACATATTCGTAAGCGGCTAATAACTTTACTGAAATTAAGTGCATTGTTTACTTGAACTAGTAAATGGGTCAAACTTGTTCATGGTGCCCCTAACTAACCGATGCTCAAATGATTGAAAGTTTTTTTTTCAATCACGACTGCTCATTGCCTTATCTTCCCATACTTCTTTAAAAAATCGCATATCTTCTATAAAAAAGAGCTGTTTTGAAATTAAAAAAAACGGTTGTTTCATATGAGCCTCAGTTAGATAAGAGCACGTTCGACCGGCTTAACTTTTAACTAATTTAAGAAATGCCAGGACATTTATATGCCAGAAAAACAATTATAATCAAATCAAGGACTAGGCTAAATGCGACGTACCTGAGGGAGCAAGTGACGGCACTGATGACCTGTGCAATTAGCCGATTGATGTTGGTGTAGGTCGGTCTCTGCACGAACAGTCTCTGTCGGCAGATCTCGTAGGCGGCCTCGTTGTCAATCGAGAAGGCCACGTCCGAATTCTCAAGAGCAGCATGTGTGCAAAGTACACTGAAAGAAAATTATAATGATAATGTCAATAAGTTGTTTAATAATTTTTTAGAAGTAGTTATCAGTCCAAAACAGATTATAGTCACAAGTATGTGACACAGAAATTCACTGTTTCAATTTCACAAATGTGTAAAACTTAGGGAATCACCATAATCCGAGCACCATAAACTATTGTTAGCACCACAAACCAATCCGATCACCACAAACCAATGTTAATGAAGTTTTTTTTAAAAGGAAATGCAATTAAACTTCTTGCCCTGTGTTAATTGAGTTTCATTATATAATCATTTTTGGGCGTCATTGATATTTTCTTAAAGCATCATTTTTTGATGTTCAGAATAACTATTTGCAAGATCGTTTGAACTTGAATCAAAACAAAAATTTGAAAAATTAGCAAACATTCTCACAAAAATAATTGAACATAATGAATAATCAAGAGAACTATTTTTCAAGAAAAAACGGTGTTTTCTGTAAGATATGCAAACAATGAGGCTCACCTGTTGTAGGGTTCGACCACCCCCGTGGACAGCTGTGGGGAGGGGTAGATGGGGAACTGCAGCTTGCTCTTCTTCCCAAACTCATTCGTGATCTGTTCCAGAAGGAGTGAGGTCAGTCCACTGCCTGTGCCTCCCCCGTAGCTGTGGAACACCACAAAGCCCTGCATCCCGTCACACTCGTCCGCCACCTAAAAGAAAAAGGAGAGGAAAAAAACAACACGCGACTCCACGGGTCTTAGTTGTCACTTTATGTTTCGGCCGTCTGGACCGAAACTCGGTAAGTTTCGACTATCTCCGACAAAGTTTGGTTTTTTTCTACGGTCTTGACCAAATTTGAGCATTCTCTGACTGTTTCAGACAAAAAAATGTGCTTGGCCGTGTTCGACTTAAGCAAGGTATGTTTCAACCAAAAGAAGTGCGATAGACTGTGATCGACCCAAGTAGGATATGTTTCGACTGTCTCGGTCGCAAAAATTGTGCTTTACTGTGCTGTGCTCTTCAAGGCATATATGTTTCGGCTTTGTATAGGCCTTCTCGTGGCGGTCCTGTTTATAATCAGCAAAAACGCTGGTCTAGCTAACTGCACATTTAAACAAGGATAATCGGTTGCTTAGCAAAGAGCGGACAATCTTTCGACCACATTCATAACAAAAACTATAAGCAAAAAATATCGATTCTTTTCTGCACATTAGTGTCATTACCAGGCCAAACAGTGTAATTTGTGAATTGTAAGCGGATTCCGCAACAAGGACACTCTCTTTGAACTTTCTTTGTTTTTTCGTCCTATTTGATTGTTTTTTTCCGATCCGACAAGATTTTAACATGTATGAAGACAGCCTCTTGATTCCAGTTACTTAGCTAGACACACCATATTGTGCGCCTATCCTGTGCTTAGTCTGGACTCGTAATGATCGTTTTTAGCGCGGAGTGTGGTTTGAGAACTATTCAAACGCATACATGCTCTGTGAATAAAACGTAATTGTCAACATTTGCCTTCTAAAATTGACAAACAAAAAATGGAAAAAAAAATTTCAAAATTTAAAACCTATCATTTTTATTAGTTAAAACTTTTTTTTCCAACAAAAAAAAAACAATTTAAATCCAAACTTTGATTTTTTCTCTAGTATATTCACCTTTTCTTTAGCTTTAGGTTCTAAATTTTTTTATTTTTTCCTCGCACGCCAACTAAAGTATAGAGAGACATGTATTTAGCATATTATACACTAATAATGAAACCAGTTGACTTAATTCAAGTCGTTTTGGAACATTTTATTCTGCAACTTACGCGTGTTATAAGAGCCCAATATATCAAATTGCAAATTGGTCAAGTTAGCGAAATTCAAACCCCGGTAATTTTACCAGTAATATTCACAGATGCATTTTTTACTCTTGAGCTCCGGTAAACTGTATGCGTCTTTTTTTACTTTGCCTCAAATTTCATATTTTACAATTTTATAAATTTCTCAAATGTTTTAATAGCTAAATGTGTTATGTTACAAAGCAATGTATGAAAAAAAATTGTTCACAACATTAAGTTTTAAGTTTGTTCACCTTGCAAAAATCATGGCTGATCAAGTCGCTGATCAAAAATTAAAAGCAACTACGCTGATCCGAGTTAAAACACAAAGTGGAAAATAACCCCACATTTTTTAGATGCTATTAGGAAATTTGTTCCAAAACGCATTGTTTTAAGACAAAAATTGACTTAAAAAATACCCCACGCAATAAGAAAGAACAACAGATTATTAAAAGAAACAAATAATAGGAAGCGTTCAGACTTTTTCCAATTTTTCCGCTTTAATACACTTGCGATAGCAAGTATCCTGCAACCGGGTACAAGACTGTTTTCTTGTTAACTACTTTGTTTATTTTGTTGTGTACTCTCTTCATTGGACTCATCTAGTCTCAGTACCTGGACGCCTCTGTTGGCAATTAAATTAACGCAATTAATACATTTTGTGCATATTAGCATGTTAAATATCCATTTTATTCAAAAATTGTTTTCATGTTAGTTGTATTTTCACCAAATCGTTCTGTTCAAATTTCATTTTTTCTTTTTTTTTCTTTTCTTATTTTCGGTTGAATAGTTTTTGAACCAAACAAACATACATGGCTTTGTGGCCTCATTTTGCATCTTTTGCGTGCCTATGTTCAGGGTGAGAAGCGCTCAAAAACTTGTTATCAACCTTTTTGAAATTTTTTGGCTTAAAAGATTTCTGCTCAGCTGTTTTCAATTATTTTTTCAATTAGTTGTTTTCATTTTGATTTATCTATTTTTTGAGTTTTTCATTTCTGCTCTTTTTGCTTCCCCCCCCACCTGCAAAATTTTATCTGTAAAAATTATGTTCACTTTGTTCAATTGTTATGAAAATTAACATACGGACTAATTAGGTTATGACAAACATATTTGGTCTTCATAATTAACCTTGTAAAACCACCCGTTACACAATAAAATTCATGTTCGTGTGAGGTGGGGGGAAAAGGAAAAAGAGCCTTCATTCCTTTTGTTATAATTTTAAAAATTTTTCTCAGCTTTTTGTATGATATTGCAACTGGTGCAAAACTCCGTCTTCCCTCTGTGCTTATTTCGCAGTCGAACTCTAAGATAATTACAGTTCTTAAGAGATTTTTTCAATTAATTCAATACATATGTTTCTTGTAAAACTAATTGCATCAGATCATTTAATGTTAGTCGTTTGTTTAAGACAGCTAGAGTAAAGCCAATTAACTTTTGATTATGTTAAGCCTAGTATAAGAACAATAAAAAGTGTGTAATAATTTTCAGTTAACTTAATAGAGTTGGGAAAAAAATTACTCAAACAAAGTTAATTGATTGTTGTGTCAATCTGCCTACCCTTGTAACCAAATTGAAAAAATTATAATTTTGATTTTTATGTGCCTCATTATTTTCAGCAGTTTTGTTGAGCTGCAGGAAAGATTGGAAATTGAACCGCAGGCTGTTTTTCAACCCACCTATTAATTTCAATTTAAAAAAAAACGACTTTATATTGTCATAATGCCATAAAACGTAGCATGTTGAGCAAACCAACAATGGTGAACAGGTTGTTTTTCTTCTTACATTTTTTTTGTAAAATCAAAAGTATAGCCATAATAACAGGTCAAATAAAAATTATGAATAACCTTTTCCCTCCCCACCGCACCCAAGCATCAATTTTATGTTGTAACGAGTGATTTAGAAGGTTAATCATGAAAACTAAATGTGTTTTTCATGTCTTTATTAGTTCGCGTGCCAATTTTCATAACTTTTGAACGATGGAACGAAATTTCATTAGTAAAAATTTTGAGGTGGCGGAAAAGAAAAAGAGCCTTTAGAAGTCACAAGTAACCTAACACCCTTGGTTGAATCTGCCTACCCTTGTAACCAAATTGAAAAAATTATAATTTTGATTTTTATGTGCCTCATTATTTTCAGCAGTTTTGTTGAGTTGCAGGAAAGATTGAAAATTGAACAGCAGGCTGTTTTTCAACCCACCTTTTAATTTCAATTCTAAAAAAAAACTACTTTATATTGTCATAATGCCATAAAACGTAGCATGTTGAGCAAACCAACAATGGTGAACAGGTTGTTTTTCTTCTTACATTTTTTTGTAAAATCAAAAGTATAGCCATAATAACAGGTCAAATAAAAATTATGAATAACCTTTTCCCTCCCCACCGCACCCAAGCATCAATTTTATGTTGTAACGAGTGATTTAGAAGGTTAATCATGAAAACTAAATGTGTTTTTCATGTCTTTATTAGTTCGCGTGCCAATTTTCATAACTTTTGAACGATGGAACGAAATTTCATTAGTAAAAATTTTGAGGTGGCGGAAAAGAAAAAGAGCCTTTAGAAGTCACAAGTAACCTAACACCCTTGGTTGAATCTGCCTACCCTTGTAACCAAATTGAAAAAATTATAATTTTGATTTTTATGTGCCTCATTATTTTCAGCAGTTTTGTTGAGTTGCAGGAAAGATTGAAAATTGAACAGCAGGCTGTTTTTCAACCCACCTTTTAATTTCAATTCTAAAAAAAACGACTTTATATTGTCATAATGCCATAAAACGTAGCATGTTGAGCAAACCAACAATGGTGAACAGGTTGTTTTTCTTCTTACATTTTTTTGTAAAATCAAAAGTATAGCCATAATAACAGGTCAAATAAAAATTATGAATAACCTTTTCCCTCCCCACCGCACCCAAGCATCAAGTTTATGTTGTAACGAGTGATTTAGAAGGTTAATCATGAAAACTAAATGTGTTTTTCATGTCTTTATTAGTTCGCGTGCCAATTTTCATAACTTTTGAACGATGGAACGAAATTTCATTAGTAAAAAATTTTGAGGTGGCGGAAAAGAAAAAGAGCCTTTAGAAGTCACAAGTAACCTAACACACTAGCCTTCTAAATTATGGAAATTAGTATAAGAGTGAAAAAAAGACCAAAGTTTTCCGATACAGATAAACTTTTGTCAACTTTTTCGTTATTTCATTTTTGAATTCATATCAATTTTAAAAGCTTTTCAAAAGATGGCATTCTCGATTCTTCTATAAGATTTTTTTTGGTTGCTGACTGCGACGTTAAAAAGAACCACTACTCTTTTGGTTCTTTGCGTTTTCGAGTTTTGAGGAGACAGTAAGGTTGCTTATTAACCATGAAAATTTTAATACAACAACGACAACAGCCGCAATTCGTTGCAATAGTACAAAAACAATATCAAAATGAAAACTTTATAAAAAAAACTGCCTTTCATTTGGCCTCAAATAGAGTCTGGTAAAAAAATGTTTGCAAACTATGAATTTTAGGCAGATAAAATTAAATTTCAAATCTTAAACATTGAGTCGTGCATCGAATTAAAAATACAAATTTGTTTGACTCAATTCAATTAGGAACAGTTTTATGGTTGGTGCCGGATAGTGCGCCATGCATAATTAATGCGCGTTAGTTTTTCAGCATAAAAGTATAGAACGAGCAGTTTTGTTGGGCTGGTTCTACAGCCATCGTAAAATCAGGTTAAAATAGTGGTGAGCATTAATTCAAGTTGTATATGGAATTATTGACGCCAATTCTTTGCCTCAATTCAATTTGGAACCGTGCTTAATTTTTATTAGTAGGCAAACGGGCAGTTTAGATAGGCTCGTTCGGAGGAACGGTCAGAGGAATTTTGCGCTTAACTTTCAGTATTAGGCAAGCGAGCATACAGACTCGTTCAGAGGAACCTGATAGTCAGGATATTTTAATGGTTTGCGCGCCCGGTGGGGCTCACGAAGATATAGCAATCGATCTCCCAAGGTAGCAATAAATGTTTTGGAAATTATTTTAAACATAATATCCACCGTGAACCAATACATTTCTCACTTACTTCGAAAGTCGGAACAAAAACGTTTTCGAAATGTGCGTAAATGTTTTATAAGATAAATATATTTTTTTTATTTCAAACGCGCGAATCAAAAACTTAGTTTGTGAGTTTAGGTGGTAAATTTCAAATGTTGAACATAGGGTGCGCTTTTGAGTTTCCCATTGTTCTGGTTCATAAAACAATTTGAATTTAGAAGTTTTGCTTGACTTGTCCGCTTACTCCAACTGTTGAAGTTTAACACGCCAAAACCTAGTGTTTTTAGCAGAGTTTTGAATATAATTTTAGAAGGTTTATAAAGAACTAAAAATAGGCCAAACATCTGACTAGCATTGTTGTACAAATATGGGTTGTTTTTGGTTATACCCTCTAAATGCTTATGAATGAAAAAGAAAAATTTGATTACAAAATTGGAATAATATTACTGCGGAAAATTGCAATAAACTGAAATGAACGGCAATTCAAAAGGCATTTGGACTCATGTTTGTAAAATTTATTTAAAGAAAAAGGCAAAAAAAAACAGGAAAAGGACCTGTTTGAAGCTAAATTAGATGAAATTGCCTCATTTCGGCTTGCACCATATTGATAGCCAGCATTTCTTCCTTGTTGATTTCGACTCTTTTTTACTAATTCACTAATGGAGAAAATTATGCGCAATTTCACAGTTTTGTCTTCTCTAAAATGCCAATTTTTATGTTTATTATGGACAACATTTACTTTCAGCAAAAGTTTTACCTGGACAATGAGAAAATCATCAACGCTACCATCTATGAAAGAATCAATATTTGATTTCAAAGACTTTCCAGAGTAATTTGTGTCTGAAAACGCCAGTTTCCATACCTGCACTAAGTTTTTCAATCCGAGTGAAAAAAAAAAGTAACAGCCGAGTTTAGTGGAACTTTCACACTGATTATCTCAATTTTCTCACTGAGAAAGTTTCATGGGGCTTGAACAATTTTTTTACTCATCTTAGTCGAGAAAGTGTTCACTCCGATCCAAAACCTAGTGCAGATGAGGAAAACTGCGTGCTCAGACCCGGATTACACTGGAAAGTCTTTGTTATCAAATAGTGGGCTCTTTTTCCTCCCCCCCCCCCCCCCCCCACCTGCAGTTTTTCTTGATTAAAATTACTGTTCACATAGTCCGATTGTCATGAAAATTGACATGCTGATAAATTAAGTCATGACAACATATTTGGTCTTCATAATTAACCTTGTAAAACTACTCATTAGACCATAAAATTGATGCTTGTGTGAGGTGGGGGGAAAAGGAAAAAGAGCCAAATAATGATATTTTCATAGATGGCAGCTCGGATGGATGAATTTCTCATGGTCTATGTGAAACTTTTGCTGAAAACCTAATTAAATGTTGTCCAAAAAGGACATACAAAAACGGTGTTTTAGAGAATAAAAACGTAAATTTGGGTTTAATTTTGTCCACCAGTGTAGCTTTTTAGTGATATATAGTTATCAATACCTTTCTGAGAGAATCCATGCAAATATCTCCCATGTCTCGGCCTATAGTGTACTTCCCCCTCGCATAGTTATTGGCCGCATCCTCCTTCCCGCTCAGCAGCCGAGTTGGGTGGAACAGCCTCGAGTAAGCCCCCGTTCGGATCTCGTCTACCACCGTCGGCTCGGTGTCAATGAAAATAGCTCTCGGCACGAACTTGTCACACGAGTTCTGGTGGAAAAACGTCTGAAACGCCGTCTCGTTTCGAGTCGTCACTGACTCTCGGCTCATAAACTCGGCGAAGGCGGGGTCCATAGTCGCGTCGGGTTTGATGCCATGCTCTAGGCAGTACAATTCCCAGCACGCCATTCCTATTTGAGAGCCACATTGTCCCAAGTGAAGTGAAATGATTTCACGCATCCTGACCCGTACGTAAACTCCGCGCCAATCCGATCTGGTTTTATATAACTAGATAACTTCTTTTAAAATTTCTTTTCAGACTTGGTACTTATTTCACGGCACGTGCAAAATTATCAAAAAAGACGAATTGCGTTCTTTGCGGAACCGACGGTAACAAACCCGCATTTTTGACTTCTGACTTCGATTATGTCGCTGTGTAATAAATGCAGTTTGCAGTGTAATTCCGGGAAGACAAATCAGCTCAACGCTAATCAGTGTCGAACATGAAGAACGGATCTACAGATTCAAATACTTGAAAAAAATTTATCAACCGGTTTCTGGGTGTCTCAATTTGATTTACCGGCTCTTTTTCCTTCGCCCCCCCCCACCTGCAAATTTTTACATGTAAATTTGTTGATCACATTGTCCGATTGTAATGAAAAATTACATACGGACTAATAAAGCCACGACAAACATATTTGGTCTTCATACTCAACCTCTTAAAACCACTCGTTACAGATATATATTGAAGCTCGTGTGAGGTGGGGGGGGGGGGGGGGGGGGCTGAAGGAAAAAGAGCCGATTTACCAAACTCTTTTCCAGTGTCCGACCCTCGTAAAAGTACCAAATAAAACTGTTCAAAAATTGTTCACACGGCTTTCTGTCTGTAAGAAATGTAAAAACTTGTTTACCTGTTCGCCCTGACACGTTTAACGCAGTTTATGACATTAAAAAAATTTTAAAAAGACTTTCATATCTTTGAATACAGTTGTTCTCCTACTGGATAAACTTCAAGAACTAATCTATCTAGACTAGGCGATATAAGAGTAAGATTAAGATTGGTATTAGACTAAGAAATTGCACGAATCTATCCGGCCGAACGTAAGATAGCGTGACGAACAGACGGTGTACCTTATCTGAAATTACTCTATAAATACATGCCAAAGGTCATAACACAACTGGTGCGACCAAATGTCTCGAACAAGACCTTAACTGACTTAGAATTAGACAATAGAACTTAGAATTTGACAATTGCAAGATTGCAAAAATGTTAGACGGAATGGAAAATTTAACAGAAGTGTCTCTACGTCTCAATAAATCTACGCCAATGTTCCGAACAAAACAAGAAACACCAGGTATTGCCAGAAGACCAAGATCAAGGCGCGAACAACGATCAGAAAACGGACCACTTTACTACATGATAGTTCGACGGAAACCGGAACAAATTTTTGTATTTAGAATACTTTATGCAGTAAGTTTAAATTTTCATTTACTGACATGAAAATTATTTGAAGACTATCTATACAATAATGAATGATAAAAAGAGCACAAGTCGCTTCCCCCAAAATCTGCAGAAAATCAAAACTTTTGAATAAACAATTTATTGATTAAAAAAATACAAAAACTAGTTATTATTAAAATTCAATGTTAGTTTCACGAATTAACACACATAAATTTGCTCATCTCAGCTTCATTACCAAAAACATTGCAGCATAAACGAGAAAAACTAACATCATCTGAAAAAAAAACCTTTAAATTTTCTTAAACTTTTACATAAAAACTTATCAAGGCTTATTTTTGCTTTTCTATAATTCACTTCTTGTCATAAACAGATCATCAAGGCTTTCATTGGATCTTTAAATTCAATTAAAACTAAAGTTATCTTACTCAAATACTGATCATCAAGGCTTTCCTTAGATCAAATTAGAACAATTTTGTTCTCCCCATCCCATAGTTTTAAAAATGTCTAAGGACCTCAAATGTCGACTCACTTCCCAACCCTTATAAACTACCCAGGACTAATAAAAGTATTTGAGAAACTAACAATTTTAATTAAATTAGACGGTGAAGAACCTCGGTTACTCATCCTTCCCTTGAGCCCCCTCTTACCTGACCCGGGATATTACCTAAACTTAGGAAGTTTAAAATAGTATCTAACGAACTATTTGTGTTCTAATTATACCTGAACTTTGTGGATCGATTTACTATTCTCCAACACTTGGTCACAATCACTACCCCTAATTAAGATTAAGTAAGTTAACACCTTAACTTATATTAGCCAGTAGAAAATAAAAATCATTCTCAGGAATCGATATATACTTTTCTCTCCAACCCTGAAATACATGACCCAAGTTAGGCTAACCAAAAAAAATTGTAAGGACTAACCGTTTAAGACATAAAAAATCATTAATCCAAATATTGCACCCGTCCTCCTAAATCTTATGTCACTAGACAATCTAGGAAATAAACAAACAATCATTTTACACAATTGTGAAATAAACAACGAAAAATATGACCTCGTAATTACTCCACACAAACAAACAATAGGACATATTAGAACAAAACGAAAGACAATCACAAGGAAATGTTTAAGAAACAAAGACAAATTACACGAAAAAGATTTTCAAAGCGAAGAAACGCAGTCTCCGAATCAGAAACCAGTAAATTAAAAGAACTTTACAGGTTAAAAGACTCCATAAATAAAAATTATCAAGTTAATGATACACTATATTTTTCCGACTCAAAACCACATCACAATCGTTAATACAAGGAAAACGAAGAATAAAAAAGCCACACAAAAACAAATCAGGACGTCTATACAATTGGAATCAACCAATAAAACACATTGAAAACTACACATTGACAGTCATAAAACACAAAAATTAGTCAAAATGAAGAAAACGAAGATGAAAACTCCATTTTTCCATTTTTAATCAACTCACTCACTGATGATAGAGGACAAACACAATTTTGTCAAAATTTAATCTCAAATTTATTCGAAAAAGCAACTAGTCCACGTATAGCAGAAATACCAGAAGTAAAATTAAAAAGACAAATTATTGATCACTATTTAAAAGGAATATGTAATGTAACACAACAGTGCGGAATCTATACCATAAAAATAAACTCACCAAGTAGTTTCATGGTAGATATCTACTTCAAACAGACGACGTAGATATAGAATTTTCAAGAGTATTCACAGAATATATAAAAAATATACAACATCAAAACTTACGAAGAGCGAATTCACTATTCACTAACGATGTATTTTCAACAATCTATACTTATCTTTCTATACTAGAAAATACAGAATCTCAAGGAGCTTCACCAGTTCAAACATCTAGACACACAACTGTAAGATGTGAAATTGCAAAGTTCAACATAATCCGTGAAACTTTAACCAGCAACGAATTTTCACAGAATGTTAAACACGATTTACAAAAAATATTGGCATGGTTTATCATTGATTCTTTCACACATAATATTGATTTAATCTCACAAGCAAGAAAAAAATTTAGACTTCAAAATTCTACTGACGACACTGTCTTAGCAGAACAATCAGATTATGTTTGGGACCCCGAATGGTATCATCCACTTTTCCTGAACATACCAACAGATATTTCAAGTCAAGCAATCATCACAATTTCTATTAATAAAAATTTGTTAAGGTGTATCCACTCACAATTGACGCAACACCTTTAAACTATAATTCATTCCTGCCCGAAAGAATAGGAAACAATAGTTTAAACTCAACCCTCATACAACAAGAAAACCTAAAAGGAACTAGAAATCTTACACAACAAGATATTCAAACACCATCACTTTTCGCAAATGAAGAAATAGTTGAAACAGTAACAACAACAAAGCAACAAATTATTTCACCAATACATCCAAATCTTACAACTCCAAGACCCAAAAATCCGACATTACCACAGGTAACGTTACAATCTACGGTTAAACCCTCCGTTGTTCCAAAATATTCACATATGGATTACCAAACATTTTGACCAATGACAAAACCATCGCAAAAACAAAGAACATTCACTAGAAATAATTTTGCAGAACGTAATTATAACTATGTAAATAGACCACAAACAACTAAACACCCTCAAACAAATACACAAAATCATTCATTTTTGCACAGACAAAATTTCCAATAAGCATCATCAAACTCAGTAATTTCAATAATTACCCACGAGTTTCACAAGACCAAAGCGAAAATTATCCATTTTTTCAGCAAAATCAAAATTAAAAAAACAGCAAACAGAAATAAACATCAAACACCTTTTTATACATCTAATTATCTTTCATCAGATGATGAAGATTATTATAATCAAAATAATCCACAGTTTTATCATAACCAAAGACCTCACTCTTACCACGTAAGCCAACCAGATATTTTTGAACCATATACACAAGAACATTATCTACGACAACCTAGACCAAATCTAGCATCTCAAAATAATAAATTTTATTCACAAAACCCATTTATTACAGATTCTTATCAACCAACGCAAGTGCAAAATGAAATCCCGCTACCCTAAGAAATCCCGCTACCAACAACATGAAATATCAAAGAGTCCACTTACAACTTTTTCACAAATGCCAAATGCCGCAGAATCACTTCAAATGACCCAGGCTAAAACCATTAATTAATTAGTAAGCCATAATACAGAACCTTACGGTCTACCTGTGTTTTAACTTTACCTGAACCTTGGGGACTGATTTACTCTTCTCCAACCCTCGATCACCAATCACAACCCCTAGGTAAGATTAAGTAAGTAACTCATAAATTGAAAACTAGTCACGAGAAAGTAAAAAATCATTCTCACAAAACGATATGCTCTCTCTTCAACCCGTCAACCACGACAATCTAAGCCCCAAGTTAAGATAACCACACAAAAACCGTAAGAACTAACAGTTTAGGAATAAAAAAACTCTAACCCCCAAATATTGCATCCATCATCCTAAACCTTATGTCAAAAGGCAATCTAGGCAGTAAACAAAAAATCATATTACGTAATTGTTTAATTAAAAACGACAGATACGATCTTGTAATCACACCGCAGAGACAAAAGATAGGATATATTAGGTCAAAGACAAACACGGAAAACAATTTCAACGAAACAAATTCAAATTATCAAAAGACGATTTTCAAAACGAAGAAACGCGATTTTCAAAACGAACACAATACAGGAGCTTCAAGATTTAAAAGATTCAATAATTAAGAATAATTAAGG